TAGGAAAGTTTCCCAAATCACACCAATTTAAATTAATTAGTGATTTGACATAATTTCCTCTTCCCTAATTAAACATCCCTTGTTTGGTAACCCCTTAATTCCCTCCCACATCACCTCCCCACCCCCATAGCCGCCTGCCCCTCTCTTTCTCACCTCTTCCTCTTGCCCCTCCAATTAATTCCCCACCTTGTTCAACCTCTCCAAGATTTATTTCAGGATTCATTATTTGCTGAAATTAATTCTTTGAAATTTTCTAAATTGCTTCTCCCCTAACATATTTCTCCTCATGAATGACCAATCCGGAGCTTGATTATGGATTCATATTCGACGATCAAGGATTAATTGACGTTCTCTGATCCCTGTTCTTTGACATCGATCTAGAGAATGACCACTTCGTCGAAGACTACGTGGAAAGAATCCTCTTCTCCCTTGCCACCGTTATCGACCGACGACAACCTCCCGTTTAGTGGCGACTTTCTTCCGAAGCCTGACAAAGGTGAAATCTCTTGCAAGTCTTATCTCTTCTAAGTTTTCCTCAATGTGGCATCACAAAGATTATGCAAACTTTCTCCGTTTCCACCAATCATCAAGGAGTTGAGTGAGGGATCTTACATATTTAATATTCAAAATGTTAATTTAGGAATTTCTTTCGACAGCCCCACATTAAGCAAAATATGATTTGATTGGTTATTTTTGTGTTATAAATCTTTGATGTGTGATATATTACTTGATTTAAAACACTGCTTTATTGTTTTCAATCACCGTTTAAATCATGGAAGTTGATTAGTTGCTCTTGCTATTTCAAAAGCATATAATTTCAAAGGCAAAACATCAACCAACGTATTTAGTCCTACATCACAATCAATATGGGCATCGATCTCAGCAGCTGTTTCCATTGCTCCGGATGCGCCAGCATTGTCCATTTCACGAATGGAGGCCATTTCAGCGATTTGGATTTTTGGTCGAAGCGCGTCGAGTGAATTATGGGCGACGTCGCGCACTTTCGCTTTTGAAACTCACCTTGTGGGGTCGACTCAACCCCGACACCGGTATTGAGGTCAACATATCTCCAAATCTCTCTTTATAAATATAAAATTTAAAAAAACAAAGAAAAAATCGATTTCAATTTTATTGGCATACATATGGTTGTTAAGAAGTACATAATGAGTTTGATCAACTTGTTCTAGTGATATTTCAACTTTAGTAGGGAGGTGCCATTCACTTTGAAATTCAACATGTATTTTATTAGTTTGCTCATTAGTCTCATTTATTATAGCAAGCATGATTGTTCAACTATACATTGGAGAATATAGCCAATGTTTTTTAAAAGCTCAATTCATATTCAATAGTTTTATGTGAAGTTCAAGTTCACATTTAGGAGTAGATTCAATTTCACATAAAAGCTCATATTTACAGGCAAAAATGAATTCAATTTCTATTAGAGGTTCATGCTCAGATTAATGAGTAGATTTAATTTCATATAAAAGCTTTACAAATTTGTTCGCTTTCAGTTTAATTTAGTTAAATTCAAATCCAAATTTAGTTTCAAAATTTGGATTGTAGTTTTTGCTTGATTCTAGGCTTAAGTTCACTTTTAGGACTAGATTCAATTTTGCTTAGAAGTTTAAGTTTTGATATGATTTCATGCATAACTTTTGCTTTTATATTCAATTTTTACTTCTTGCATGAGGATAAATTCAAGTTCAGAAATAAATTTTAAGGTACGCATAGATTTTGATTAGAGGCTCCGTTTTAGTTGATAATGCCATTTCTATTTGAGGCTTAGGTCTCACGCTCAAATTCAATGCCAGACTAGAATTCCAACCCTTGTTCAAATATGGGTTCATAATCATAGTCTAATGTTGGTGCCAATTAGACTCCGTGACATCAAAATAATCCATGAACTATTGTTTCCTCACTAAGATATAATTCTAGTACATCTGATTTTATTGTAATTGAGGTTGACAAACTTAGTAGAAGAAGGTAAAGATTTCTCTTTAAGGATTTTAGTTGCAAATGTGGTATTGCTAACAAATCATTGTAAATATGTCTAAATACTCAAAGAATCAGTAAATGCATCACTTAGTGTTCTTGGTAAATTGTGGCTTAAGTCAACCCTAATCGTTTGCCTAAGTCCTGTTACGAAAACATATAACAATAAAGTTTCAAAACAAATTATGTTTAATTATAATGCCTATTAATATATCATATTATGCGAACATACTAGTATTATTTTGCCTACAACCTTTGAAGTGATTATCCTATTGATCATGTTATTCTCTGAATGGTATATATTATTATTTAAGTTTGCCTCATGTTAGCTCCTGTTGATTTTATTTTGCTTACAACACCTTCTCAAAATGATTGAGCACAATATAATAGTGTATAGTTGACACACAAGTTTTTTTAAATTAGATAGATGGTCATGTTAAAAAAGGTTTTAAAAAATTTGATTCGACGTGGAAATTTCTCAAGATCATACCTCTGCTGGGTGCATGAATGTTATGTAGATCTTCGGGATAGTTATTGTTGCATCTTTTATTTTTTTTTAATTAACTCAATATTATGACTTACTAGAGTTGACATGATTTAATCATCAACTCTAATACCAATTTGATGTAAGAAGATTATGGGTTTATGCTACTAATCATCAAAAAATGAATTCAACACATTTCACATTTGCCAAAATTCCAATCACTACACAAACCAATGATTGAAATATCGTGAAAGAAGAACAGTCTCACCCCTAGATAAGGAGGCTTGCCTCTATAAGTATTAATCCACATCTATGAAGCACTTGAATAATATACATTTAGCGCACACATAATAAAAGAAAAGATTTAATACTCAATATACAACTAATTTTATGTCCCTCAAGGGTCTATTCATAGCCTATAAATGATACAAAATGAGAAACTTCTCACAATTAATTCAAATATTGCAAGTTTCAATTCATCATATTATGAATTCAAACAATATTTCATAAAAAGTCTAATTTTTAATTTTAAATTCCAAGCCACAAAGTGAGCATCACAAATAGGGACCAAACATAGCTAAAATAGTGGGCCCAATACAACAGAGGCAACAATTAGGGTGAATCATGTGGCAGAACTTCAGAGGTTGTTTGTGATCACTTTATATATATATATATATATATATATTGTTTTTGTCCTTTTTTATTTTATTTATGTTTTGATATGAAATAATGATATGCTTGTTTCCCAAATATATGCTATTTTTGTTTTGATTGAATATCACACTAGTCAATTTTTGTTTTGCGATTTGGAAGAGGATGATGGCGCTGTGTTAAGAGGTTTTGGTGGACAAGATGGAGATGCAATTGACTTTGACATGGGGTGGCATGCAACGAGTGTGAGCTTGGAGGGTGGCAGATGTGGGATTGGCCGACAATGGGGGCGGGCATGAGGTTGGGCTTGCTGCAGGCACAATTGTCGATGGTTGACGTAGGCTAGGCTATTGGCGGGTGTGGGCTAGATGACATAGTGCACAAGGTCAAGTACCTGAGAGTTTGTATTTTGAAAATGATGAAAACACCTAAAAATTTATTTGGGTGTTTTTAAAAATAACTTTAAAAATAGAAAAGAAAAATACATACAAAACTCTAACCAAACAATAGATTTAAAGTTATTGATGATTCAACTTTTTTGATGGTGAAGCGGTAGCGATAGGTTTGATTTACAAACATTAATACTGATATAGTGAAAATCACATAAACAACGGTAACAAGGGAAATAATGTTTAGTCAAAGTAGAGGCCCAACACTGTTGCATGAACAGTGTGGGAGGAGATGGATATATTAACTTTAAATGCTTCAAACTTATTGTTCCTACTATATTTATCCTAGACTCTTAGGTTCTTATATTGATTTGTTTAGGTAAAATTTCCCTCTTCTAGGCTTTGTTTCTTTGGACAACTTTTTATGAGGCTGTCCTATATAGAGGTGTAAACGAGTCAAGCCGAGTATTTGCCTAATCGAGCTAAGCTTGTTTAGTTCTTATTGAGCTTGAGCTCGATTCAAGCTCATTTACTAAGCTCGAGCTTGACTCATTACAAAATTTATAGTATCAAGCTTGTTTGGAAAGCTCGAGCTTGACTCAATTATTGAGCTCCATTTCTTAATTTTAAATTAAAAATCTATGTTTTTTATTTTTAATATAGAATTAATTTTAAAATGTTAAAATATATTATATAATGTTAATTTAAATTAATTTTTAAATATATTTTAAGTTAATCGAGCGGCTCAACAAGCTTTTGAGTTGAGCCATATTTAGCTTGAGCTTGATCTCGTTTAATATATGAGCTCGAGTATAGGCTCGAGCTTGAACTCATGGTTCAATAAGCTTGACTCGTAAGCTTGTTAACGAGTTGAGCTCGAGCTGGCTCAACTTACTTACAACCCTAGTCCCATGCATGCTTATCTCGCAGGAATGTTCTTCTTTACTACTTTCAAATATTTTAAATCAATAATTTTATTATGTATTAGTTATTTAAGTTTGCGAGTTGTTGAATAGAACTGTGATCTATCTTATACATCAGCATAGATTTGTAAGACTATAATATTGTTGTTGTAGTCATGTGTTAATGACATTTTTGGAAGGGTTTCTTAGAAGTTATTTCTCTTATTTAGTTTTATTCAGTTATTTATTATTTCGGTTTTCAAGTTCTTTCTGTTGGGATAAGGCTAATGGTGATGATAATGATTTCATTAGTTACGTAAAAGCCTTTTCAATATTTCAACATTTTTTTTTTCTTATCTTGCTTAGTTGATGAGCATGTTAAAAATTTGAGTTTTAGTATTAAAAAGGTTAAATTTGGATATAAAGTTGGTAAGCCCTTTTCAGGTTCTTTTTTTTTTTCAATGAACTTACCATGCAAACTTTGTGAGGCTTATGATTAAGATTGCACCTTGTTTGTGAAGCATATCACTCTACTGAATTGCTAATTGTATGTTTTTTACTTTTACAAAAAATTACATGCAGATCGGCAATGATGTATCTCAATTTGTTGGTCCACTGATTTTGAATCGCCTTTTAAAGGTATGATATCTTCTGATCTCAGCTAATTTTGTTTTGAATCCATATTTATTAGTCATTTCAATTTCTCTGGTACATAATTTCTTAAGCTCTATCAATGACAAGGTTATATAGGCATTGGGTAGGCCATTTGCTAACTTTTCAAGGGTTGGCCATGCGCTATAATCATCTTTCACAATGCTGATATATTTATTGCTTCATCTGGCTTTAGCATGCTGGGGTATGTTCTAAGGGGTTATTTTGCCAAGAGTGTATTAGAAAAAAAATTTCAACATTTTTTCAGTAATTTTTCCTCTTGATGGTTTATTGAGATCGTTAGATGCAAAAAGTAACTTTATTATTATGTTGGAACCTTGTCGTTGAGCAGAGAAAAGTGTAGATTTTCTTGAATTCTGCGGGTAACTGTTTGGGCTATGTTCTGATTCTTAGCTGGTTAATATTTTCCCTAAATTTTCTTATTAAAGCTTGTGTGTGCCATGGGTTTTTGCTTGTGGAGTGGGTACAGGCACTTTTTTCAATTAAATCTATCTAGCTGATATCTTTTGTTTATTTTCTTTTTATTTTTTGTCTAACAGTAGTTGTAAAGTTACTATTGATTCAACTATTTAGTTTGTTTCTCATTACTTCTCAAATGTTAGTTGTAATTTACTTGTATTCAATTGTCAGTCCATGCAAGAAGGAGAGCCAGGGTGGCATGGCTACATCTACGCCTTCTCAATATTTGCGGGAGTGGTATGAGTTTAAATCTTTGGTTATTGTTCTTTCGATGAACCATTTCATAATATATTTGCTTTTGTACTTGCTAGTTGATTGTAGATTAGAATTATCCCTTTATGGAGATCGCATATGTAACTGCATGCAATATTAGGAATTATATAAATCATTGTTCTCTTATAACGAATTGAAATGTACTTTTGATCTGTAACCTGATTGCCTGAATACATATTTCTAGTGGTCTTTTCATGTGACTACTAAGAACTAATTGAGCTTCTGTTTCAGCCCCATAACCGTTAGGAGTTGCTGAAAGTTGCATAGTTTTTTTACTTTTAATGACAAAAATACCTCCATGTTATATTTTTTTTTCCTTTTTTCATTTTTTTCCTTTTTACTCCTTTGATATTTTAGTGTCACTGTCCAAACAAATTTATCTCTCCTACTAGACTTGCTCATAAGATGGAGTAGCTCCGGTGGTAGATAAGATAAGAAATAGTCGACTTAGATGATTTGGTCACATAAAATATCGGCCTTCCGATGACCCTGTTAGGATAGTAGATGCATAAGATTCGGTCTATGTTAAGAAACGTAGAGGTAGAAGTGTAGAACTAAAAAGACTGGGCTAAAATGTATTAAAAATGCCTTTTTTTATTAGGCTTTAATGAGAATTTAAATTTTAATATGACATAATGGATAAAAAATATTCATTTAGCTGACCCACTTAATGGGATAAAAGATTGTTGTTGTTGTACTTACCTTGTTCATTCTTGCGTGTGTGCCACCTAGCTTTTCTTAATGGCTATAAGACAATTGGTATTATTCTCATAGGTGTTGGTAGAAAAGGAACTTACACTTCGGGCTCTTTGGAATACAACTTTTATGGCCCTATATCATCCATCCATTAAGGCAATTTATAAAATCAACATAAATTAAAAATCTGTGCATAGATAATATCGAATCAACTAGTTTTGCATTGATGCCCTATCTATACCATAGAAAATCTATCATCTGCTTGCGATATTTCAAAACAAGTACCTTTTTCATTTACTTAGAACTACTTTTATTATTAATGCTACATCTTAGAAATATTGATTTAGAGAGGTAAGCCAGGCTGAGTAATGTAGGATGGTTTATGGTTAGGGTTTCCTGATGCAACGATCATGATGCAAGGTATGTAAATCAAGCAAAATAACTTGAAGGATTGATGCTATCAAATATTTATGTAATTTTATTTTTATTGAACAATATTATGTTTTATGTTCTTTTTTTTTAGCTATCTAATGATGTGAAAGCATCCAATGAATATGGTAGGTTGTGCATGGGGCTTGGTAGACCTTTGGTTTGCTGGCTCGATTAGTCCTTGGCTGCTGCTGGTTCACGGGTTGCCTGTTTTGGGGCATATGTTGATGGTTGGAGTTGAGCTCATTCTCTTAAGTTGCTTGAGTTGAAATTTTGTAGCTCATTAATGTTCTAAAGTTAAGCTCATTAAGTTGGATTCAATTTTGGAGTGGACTTGTCCCTTCTCCTTGCCCTTTCTTCTTGTCTCTTGGAAAACCGTGGCTTATTATTTTGTGTTGGCTGAATTCCGTGCCTTGGCTGCTGATTCCGAGCATTATTTCCTTGGTTCCCACGTTGGCTGTTGGTGTTCCGAGCTGGGGGTTTCCCGTGGCTTTTGATGCCTCGGTTCCGTGTGGTTCCCGTGGTTGCTCCTTCGGTTCCTGAGCTAGGCTGTTTTCAGTGAAAAGCAAATGGGGAAATTCCATAATTTGATGCTTAGATTCTTGTGGAAATTAATTAAAGTGGCTGTTGTTATTCTTCTATATTGTCTATAAATATAAGAAGTTTTTGTAAAGATGGGAGTTGATTATTGTGAGCAAATTTGCTATTAACCTGCGGGTTATTGGAAAAGCTTGCGAGCTTGTTCCATTCTTCTTCTCATCCCCTCTGGAAATCTTGCGAGCTCTTTCCACCCTTCGTCTTGGCTTCTAGCCTCTTTTGTCTCTCTGGAAGTTCCACTCCATATGTATCCTTCTTCTTGAGCTTTGGTGGTGATTGTTGGTTGATTTGGAAGCATCTCTTGGAAGAATTGGACGATCTTGCAGTGGTGGACCATCGGTTTGCTAGCCCTATGCACTTATCTTATTTAACCTACAATTCGATGCATGTGAGGAACCTGCTCTGACGGTTGTCTGAAGATAGCATTGTTTTTTTTTAATTTTCTTTGTTTCTTAAAAAGTCTCTTCGTGTTTTCTTGTTGGATTTTGAGTGTTTTAGTTGACTACTTCTATTTTAATAGAATCTGGTTTGAGTTCTATCCATTGTTCTCTTTGTGTCACTTTTCTTGCACTTGTGCTTACATCAAGGATTCTTAGTTCACAAGCCACTGAATAAGCCAAGTTGCTGCTTTCTTTAAATACAAATAGTAAATATGAGAATTTGGATCCAAAAAATAATGATATGATTGAATAAATCCTAAAGAAATCAACCAAAATTTTGAATAATGTAAAAATCAACACCACAAATAGATTTCAATTTGTGTTGAATTTGAACAAAATAAGGAGCCTAACAAGCCAATAAAAAAGTAAGTAGATGAAATAGGTTAAAGAAAGCAGTTACTAAAAAAAAGAAATTCATCACCTGTAAACTGTCTATTTCCTATTGCTTTTTAGAAGGGCTTCTAATGTCTATATGCCTGAAAGCTATCATATCTTGCAGACTTCTCATCTCCATAAAACTGGGATTATTCATGAACAAGCATGAAGTGGTGCTCTTATATTAGACATTATCTACTTATTCTACAATGCAATATTTGTCTCATAACCTGTGCACATGCATTAAAAACAGTTCGGAACCACATTGTTACCAAGATATCCCATTTATGCAAATTATAACTAACTTTTCATATGTGAAAACTATCAAATTCACTCATGGATTTCATTTGCCGAGTTCTGATGAAATATACTTTTTTCTACTTTATTTAGTTGCTTTTTTCCTGTAGACCTGTGAATTTAATGATGTAAGTTTGCTAAGCTTGGTTTTTATATTTTTTTTTATTTGCTTGACCAGTCATTAGGAGTGCTATTTGAAGCTCAGTACTTCCAAAATGTGATGCGTGTTGGCTTTCGGTTAAGGTCTACCTTGGTATGTTTTTTTTTTTTTTCGTTTGAACTAGCCTCAATTTTCTGGTTTATGTGCATTACAATTTTATATTAATGACAATCATATTAATTATTAAATGGCAACCTGAACAGTATTAATTATGATTGTCATTTCAGGTTGCTGCTGTGTTTCGTAAATCATTGAGACTAACACATGAAGGCCGAAGAAAATTTGCATCAGGAAAAATAACTAACTTGATGACAACTGATGCAGAATCACTTCAAGTAGGTAACTCATGCGATTGAGAGCTGCTAAAATCCAATGTTCTGAACTGAAACACATGAAAAGTTTTACTACTAGTTTTTATTCACTTTATATCCCTTATATCTTGAACATTCCCATCAGTTCAATACTGTTTAGTGATTAAATTGCACAAAATAAATTGTTAATTTGAGTTATGATCAATGTTCGCATATTTGCATTTAAGATATGGCAAACAATCATCGTTGTACTAATTATAATTCTGACAAATCTCTTACAGCAAATCTGTCAGCAGCTTCATAGTTTATGGTCAGCACCATTTCGCATTGTCATATCCATTGCACTTCTTTACAGTCAGCTAGGTGTTGCTTCACTTGTGGGATCAATAATTCTGGTTCTTATGTTCCCCTTTCAGGTAACGTTTTTGTTATTTTGGTATCAGGATAACTTAATTTGTCTTTCTATTTTTTGCATTAATCAATCCTTATTTCTTGATCAAATAAATACGGATTGGGATTTTACAGCACAATTTTTTTAGATAACGTATTCAGGCCTAGATTCATTAATATAGATTGTGAATAGAGAGTTCGTCATTTGATTTCTTCTTTGCTTAATTATATTTTGCTATAGATTCCGAGCAAGATATTATTCATTCAAAATCAGACAATTGTTGAAATTCCAAATGGTGGCCATTGTTACGGTTCTCAGTAGAACCGGACCAACCAAACCGGCCGAGGAGGTGCCAGTTCAGTTTTATAGGAGTCGGGCTAAGCTGCTTCCTTAATGTCCACCCAAGCATGGTGGGCCCCCATTGGGCGGCAATTAGAAAGGAAGGGGCGGTTAATGCTTAAGGAAGTAATTTGAAATTAGTTTATGTTAGATAGCTATTTATTCAGAAGAATTGCATTTAAAGAACATGAGATGCTAGGGTTAGGGCATGCATGTTTTGAGTTATTCTCTTGGAGTTCCTTGGCGTCTTGGGCTCTAGACTCATCGTCTATAGATTGGAAGAGAACGATCCTCCTCTCGAAGAATGATCCTCCTCTCGAATTGAGGATCAATGTCATCTTGCTGATTTCACCCAGATTTTTGTGTTGTTTCCGCTGTTTTGACCAATTATTACTTGGGTTGCTTGCGAACTCAAGTACTTCCTCTTGAATTACTTGCGAACTCAAGTATTTCCTATCAGGTTATGAAGCTACATAGAAGAAATGGCACAATAGTTTGGGATGAGATCCATGATGAGGGATGACACCAAACTATTAGGGCAAAGCTGTTGTGATGAAATGTGGTAAGTGACATGGGAAGTGAGGCAAATTAAGAGCATGAGCGCTTATAGCATAAGAATTGGGGCTGAAAAAGTAAATTAAAAAAAAAAAACCCTAAAATGCGTCTCCCATGTGTCCTATATATTCTCCCCTATGTTGGGTTGTATTGGACCTGTGTCTCACCTTAATTTGTGCTCAAAACACCTCCAAAATAATTAAATGTGTGAGACACCTATCACACACATGTTGGGTCATGTTAGAGATGTGTCCAATCCGTACATGAAAGGCATTTTGAATTCTCCATGTTTCATAGCCCTATTAGACTTGATAATCAAGACTATGTCCTTTTCCATAATTTCACTGAGTAGAAATTACTTCTACGTCCATCTAGAAATGGTCAACTGTTTTAATAAATATCTTTACCCAATTAACTTATTCCTAAACATTAGATCTGCTTTCTGAACATCAGATGTGCTTTACTATTTACAATTTCTCATTATAAGAAGACATGCTTGCCCTGCTCTGATTAGATGGTCTGATTGAATTTAATCAATTAGCTGCAAGGAAGCCTAATCTGTTTCATTAATTACTCATGTTGTTCCTGAAATGACTTTTCGTGTGATTCTTTTGATTTCTGTCTATTCTATTATCATTGATATCTCATAGAGAACTTCAAATTTAATGCCCCAAACGTCCATTGCAACTTACATGGTTTCTCCTGTGACTGCATTGAGAGCATGGTAAAACGCTTGTTTACTTCTTGTGAAATTCAACATATTGTGTTAAAGAGTGAAATACGATGAGTAACTTGAATATGCTATTTTAATTTACTACTTGAATGACTATATGCCACCTTATATTTGCCTGTTCATGTATGTAAATCTATTATCTTCGTTCCTTGATCCCTCAGCGTGGGGACTTCTTATATTGACTGATATACAGTTTGCCCTAGCTTTGCTATATGACACTCATATAAAAAACTAACCTTTGTTCTCATTCTTCATTTGTATCAGACATTCGTGATAAGCAAAATGCAGAAATTATCTAAGGAAGGCTTACAGAGGACAGACAAACGGATTGGTCTTATGAATGAAGTGCTGGCTGCAATGGATACTGTGAAGTATGTCTAAGATTTAATTAGTCATTTATACTACAAAGAAATCCACCAAATCAAATCAACACCTACGCACACACATAGACACCCTCAAACCAACTCCCTTTAACTTCATTGTATTCCCGCTATGACCACCTAGAAAAAAGCTTCCACCCACCATCAAGCGAATCTACTATTTATTTATGCTTACTTTCCAAAGTCAACAGATGCTATGCATGGGAGAAAAGCTTTCAGGCTAAGGTACAGAGCATTCGAAATGATGAGCTTTCCTGGTTCCGGAAGGCTCAGCTACTCGCAGCGGTATTATTCAGCTGCATCATTCAATTTTACTTTCTAATAATCCTCTTAAAATTTGTTCGGGTTCACGTCATCTATTAATGCACTGCTGATTTCACTCTTTGTGCGATAAAGAAAAGGTCATGATCCTAACTTACTATCATATTTTGCAGTGCAACTCTTTTATTCTGAACAGCATTCCAGTTGTTGTTACCGTGATATCTTTTGGGGTGTTCTCTCTGCTTGGAGGTGATCTGACACCAGCAAAAGCATTCACATCACTTTCTCTGTTTGCTGTTTTGCGTTTTCCTCTCTTCATGTTACCGAATTTGATAACTCAGGTTTGTACTCTCTTACTTTTGTAGATATGATCATGTAATTTTATTCAGTGCATTATAAATTCTAATTCTTTAGTTTTATGTGTTAACAAGTATTATGGTTTCTTTTCTTTTCATCTCTTGCTTGCCTGGGTTTAGAGGAGTCATACTGTTAGACCGGTCCATTGGACCGATCCTGCTGGTCCACACGGGACCAGCTCAGGCGGAGAACAGGCGGAGAGTTCCGCCTGTCGCGTAGGCCAATCGGGCCGCCAGCCAAAGCCAAGGGATTTTTTTTGGAAAGATTTGTGAGGGAATTGGGAGGGAAATTTGAATGTATGGACTGTTTAGGGATTTCCTTTTGATTTGTATGCATTAAATAGTTTGTTTTTCTAGGGTTAGGGCATCTTGAATTTGGTTGAATTTGGGATCTCTTAGGTTTAGGTTTTGGGCTCTAGATTCGTCTAGAGATTGGGAGAGATCGACCCTCCTCTCGAATAGAGTATCACTTGTATCTCGTTGTTTTCTTCCATTAGTGATTTTTTTCTCAATAAAAATTGTGGTTTTCCTGATTTTCCTCAATATTGTGGAGTTTTTTCGTTGTTTTCGTCAATATTGATAGGATTTACTTGAAATCTTCAAGTGTTTCCTATCACATACATAGTGTATGGAGCTGTCGTTAATGCAGGGTCTGAATAGAAATTGATGCATGTAATCTTAAAATCACATTTGCAAATAGGCAGTTTTCATGATATGAACCCTTTCTGATATGAACCCTGCTGATTTCACTCTTTGTGCGATGATCAACACCAAATTCAAAAGTACTTTATTTACCGTCGATGGCAGTCAGCATCGTATTTCAGTCAAATATTCGGTTAATCAGTTGAAGAAAGAGGATTGCTAATTTATTGGCTTTTCTTCTGCATGTTTGATTTGTACTTACAATGAAAATTTTAATCTAACATAATGGACTCGGGGAAAATGCTTGTAGCTAATATTTGAGTTGACCTGGCATAAAAGTGTGGCCTCTCTTGCTTCCATGGTAACACTTAGTTGGCACTAAGCCGCTAACTATGTTTGGGCGATGGCAAGTGAAACTCATTCACATTTATTATTCTAGCCATGCCCCTGGCTTTTCACTCTTCTAACAACAATAAAGGCTGACTATTTGTCGAGGCCCTGGAATATGCTAGACATCTCCGCAATGCGATTAGAAGGCCACATCATACGGAAGTTTTGTTTTTGTGCGACCCGAAGAACACCCTAAAAGGAGAGCTATTGTGGGCATTGGGCTCTCTCATGGTTTTTGAGAATGAAAAATGTCTAATCAATTGTTTCTTATGGCAGATGATGAAAAGTGAGAATAACTGTGTGACGTAGGATATGCAGTGAAGTTAGAGAAATCATCAGTAAATTGAAAGAAAAAAAACATATATCATAAACAGGAAATTCTCAAAGTTAATTGATGTAAAAAATCCTCAAAATATTGAGTTGCTGAATTGTCAAGGCAAGAAAGCTGGAAATTCAAAATAAGGGATCTTTGAAGTAGTCATAATTTAATTAAACAAATCAGTAATGAAAGTACATTATGATGTCCTATTTATAAGAAATTAAACCCTAATTAAGAATGAAGGATTTCTTATCCTTATTAATTTTAAATTAATTTAAATTAAAAACAGATGATCAAGATGTTTCCATAAATGATAATGGGCCTAAAAAAGGCTTGAAAATAGTCTGCGTCAGCTTAATTGTTGCATGGTTTGACTCATTGGGAATGGCCTATAAAAAAACAAGTCTATTTGAATTAATTAGCTGACGAATAACTCTTCTTAGGGGAGATGAAGTATTGGAATTTCTCTAGAAGGCCAGAGGACTAAAATGCTTTTCATTGATAGAATCAAGGATTCTTTTGAAAACAGATAATTCAAGGTAGTGACTATCATTTTTATATGATTTTTGAGAATTTTATTTAAAATTTTGGTATTTGGATTTTCAAGAGATGTACCCTGGTGTATGCTTTTAGTGCAATCAAAAAATTTGGGAAGGGACCCAAATTTTTTTATCACAAAAACAAACTCTTTCTAGGATGATAAAAAGACATAAAATACTCAAAAACTTGACAAAATATAACTAACAAAATAAAACACAACTTTAATATTATAAAAGTACTTACAAACAAAGACTCTTACAAACTTGACTCAAACATGACACCCTAAACTTGCTTTCCAAAAGAAGAAGGATACAGGTGGGGTGGTCACTTGCGGAGAGACGAAACAGGTTAGAAGCCGAAAAGAAGGGTGGAAAGTACTCGCAAGTCTTTCCTAGAGGAGATGAAAAGGAGAATGGAACAAGCTCGCAAGCTTTTCCACAGGTTTACATTTCCAAAAATCAATCACATAACATTTATAAAACATCCCAAAACAACTATATATATAGGCATGAGAGGGGAATACAAACAGACCCTCATTAATTTAAAAGCTTATTTAAATTGAGAATATGAAAAGCCAACAACCATTCCAGGAAACAAAGCATCAAAGCCACGGAGAAGCCCCCAAACAGCCACGGGAAAGCAGCCCAGGAGGAACCTGAAGTGGTAGTCGCAAGAACCAAGGAGGCCCGCACGGAACCGAGGCACCAAAGGCACGGGAAGGCCACCCAGCACGGAAAACCATCAGCCAACCGGGGGAACTAAGGAGCCAAGGCACGGGAACCCAAGAGCCATCCACGGGAACCAAAGAGACAGCAAATGGGGGGAATGAACATCAATTTATGAGCTAAAAAGTCTCCCTACTAGACATTAATGTGCTGATATAAAATTTTCAACTCAACTTGTTTTGACTCATTCCTTGCCTACATCAGTTTTTTGCTTTAGTCATGTGTATGCTTTTTTGCTTTAGTCATGGATGTTCTCACTAGACATTTGAAGAGGTTGTAACCTGGTTTATGGATTTTGCGGGTGATATTCTTCTTGTTGATAAGACTAGAGAGGGAGTTGAAGATAAACTTGAATTATTACGGTCAACTTTAGAGTCTAAAGGTTTTCATTTAAGCATATCTAAAACAAATATATGGAGTGTAATTTTAGTAGTAATAGATCTACTAGGAGGATTGTGACTTTGGACGATCAAGTCATTAAAGGCTGATGAAGGCCATGTTGAAAGTGAATATCAACGGGAGGGGGACTCTACCTTTTAAAATGCCTCAAAATCTTGATAAAATATAAATATTTTTCAAGTGACCTCAATGTCACTCCGATGATGGCCGTATTGACAGTGAATCTTAATTAAAGAAGAACCTATCTTTTTAAACACCTCCAAATGCCAATATAATGCAAATTATATTTAAGTGACTTCAACATCACCCAAATGATGGACATATTGATGATGAATATCAGCCGAAAGGGTCAATTTAAAAAAAAACTATCAAATCTATACAAATTCAAATGTTTAAAATGAAATTAATTATCTAAACCTTAAAGCGAAACTTATTTATCCTCCACAATCATTTGGCGAGGGCAATGAACTAAAGAATAACTTCAGCTCACAAGTAGCCAATGCCTAATTGATAATATTACTATGATTCATTCTTAAACAATCTCTTGTTAGTAAGGACATAACTAAGGTCTTCTAACTAGTGATTTGGCCCAATGGCTCCACTGAATCGGTGGTTTAGACAAACCACTGCGTAGAACTGTTGGTTTAGCCCAACATCTCCACATTGTAAATTATGACCAAAGCCCTCTAACTAAGTGGTTTGGCCCAACTACTTTACTAAATTATGGTCAAGACTAGTGCTCGTATGTTCCCTAATGACTATAAACCTTGAGCAATGAATCATTGCATAGGCTTAATATGATACAAAGCCCTTTGTTAGCTAAAATTGACTTGAATTTGTCCCTTAGATAAAGTTCCAGCTAGGTCTACAAAGTACCCTTGCACAAAAAATTCATGGCTCCCGATAAGAATCCTTCGGTCAGGTTGGGTCGATAACATCCTCTAGCTAAGTAAACTAGGGATTATGATAACCTTGCACAACGAAATTATGTGATCTTAATCAGGTTCGTCATCATTCTCCCCACCATCCATTTTAAATGAATTGGTGGTAAATTTCTAATTCTAATTTTAAATATCAAATATGTTGCTACTATACGTTAGGTATTAAGTGTCTATTTAATGACTAGCCTTAATTGAAAGTGCTCTTCGTCACTGAGAGGGATAATTAATCATAGGGGCTTGCGCCTATGGAAAACTTGAACTTAGATCTTAAAGTCATCGCATATGAGAACGAAATCTTTGGTTAGTGCTTTATCTCTACCTAATTTATCTTCTGAAAATTTTTCTTAGACTTAATTTGTTAAAACTCTACCCAAATCAATATAGAGAGGCTAGGGCACCCAAAGGTAAATTTGTCAGTGCCCACATATTTGTTTGCTTTCCTGTCTATTTTATTCATTTAATTTTTTATTCTGTTTTTTTTTTTTTAAATTACCCTCACAATTAGAATAGGGGAGGCAAAAAAGACACTTGGTATACATGAAGGGGTCATGCGAAACTTGAATTTTAGAATTGTCTACAATACTATTTAGGTAAACGTTAATGTTGATAGTAAGGGCATTAATATTTCCTAAAAATTACTTTTAGTTTGGGGGAATTTTTGAAGAATTTGTTTTGAGACGTTAAGTTTCAAATAAGATTTGATTAGGATTTACTTGAGTTGGGTAAGGTGGATAATTTGTCGGAGGGATTTTAGAATTGAGCAAGAATTTGAAGTTAATCTGGACTAAAGAAATAGAATTTTGAATGAATTGTCGAGTGATTCTAAGTGATGAGGTGGAGGGAGAAATGGATAAGGTACAGAAATTTCTTTTACCCTATTTTACCGTTGGCTGTCTAGAGAAAATGTTATAGAGGAGAGACATGGTGCGATAGGGTAAGAAAATGTAGGGATTTGATGTTGAAGGTGCAAATATATTGGAAATTGATGAAGATAAGTGAAAATTTGTATGAAAATTATGCAAAAACAATAGTATTTTTCCGACATTGCCAAATCAGTATATGATACACAATGAAAATAACAAAATGAATTCCAAGCTGTTGATGTTGAATCCTCGAGACATTCATCATCATCACCATTAGTCTTATTCCTATCTATTTGGTGACTACTTCGAATCCTGAAGACATTGAATTGCTGAATTCTCTTAGCAAGAAAATTAAAAAGCCAAAATAAGAACTTAAACAATTCTTCATGAAATTCATTAGATTTCAAGAAACAAATCAATAATGAAATTGCACAAATTAGATCCAACTTATGAAGAAACTAAACACTAATTGAGGATGAAGACAATCTTATTATGATTACATTACTAATTTATTTAAAATAAAAGGCAAATGATTCTGGTTACAGAAACGCATGAAGATCATTCTAGTTTAACGAATTTGTTACCTGATTAGTCTTCTTCATGTTGGCCTATGAAAAGTAGAGTCTATCTGAAATAATTTTCTGACATTACTGTATCAATCCATCCATGAACAATCGATTGATAGAACTCTTGTTATTACTTTTTGTTTTCACCGTTGTGTCTAACCCCCTGCTGACGGTCCCCCATATCATCTAGTAGAGAGCCAAATCTGTGCCTTGAGCTTTTCTAGTTTACTTGCCGCACAATTTTTTTTTTTTGGGTTAGGGATAAAGAGACAACCTAAGGAATTCTTTCTTAGGTTCATTAACATTGTTTCTTCTTGGATTCTTCAAATAACTCTCTAAACATTTTATTGCTCTGATATTGCAACAACACAGAACTGTTTGAATTTTCTTTATCACTTCCATCCTTTTCAAATTATCCTTGCACCATTTTACATGAAAATTAATTCTTCGATTGATCTATGAAATGCCCATGAGATTCTGATGACTATCTACCAACTCTTCCTTTCTCAATTGTAACTTTTATACAGAGTGAATCAACTGTTCCTGTCATTTATTGCTTTTTAATGCTGTATAACTTTTTCATTTAAAAAAATTTTAACTAATGGAATTGCCCTCCATTTGAACACTGTTTTGCAATGATATATGGTTTGTATATTCATTTTTGTCAGGTTGTGAATGCAAATGTTTCATTGAAAAGACTAGAAGACTTATTCTTGACTGAGGAGAGGGTGCTTATGCCTAATCCGCCTCTTGATCCTACTCTTCCTGCCATATCTATTAGGGATGGATACTTTTCCTGGGACTCAAAGGTTGCCATTTATTTCATTAAAACTCAAGAATATAACTATATGTTCATAAATTCTATCTGTTTTATGATATATCATCGTTTTAGTTGTGTTATTTTGAAAAAAAAAAACATTTGTAAGCTTTCTGCAAAACAAAAACTGAAGCTGAAATGCTGAAAACCTTTAGGAAGAGAGGCCCACATTATCAAATGTCAACTTGGATATTTCTGTTGGTAGCTTGGTGGCCATAGTTGGAAGCACCGGAGAAGGAAAAACATCTCTAGTATCAGCAATGCTTGGTGAACTTCCACCAAAGGCAGGATTCAATACAACTGTTGTCATTCGTGGCAGTGTTGCCTATGTTCCTCAAATTTCATGGATATTTAATGCTTCTGTAAGTTCTAGATTCGTAACATTTGTGTCTAGTAGTATATAGATATATGCATAATTCTAACTTGATTTCGTTGAATAACAGGTGCGGGACAATATTTTGTTTGGATCTCATTTTGAAGCCCGGCGCTATGAGGAGGCTATTGAAGTAACTGCTTTACAACATGACCTAGATTTGCTCCCGGTTTGTATTTTATTTATTTATTTTATAGTCTATGCAACCAATTTTCTCTTGAACTTCTTGATTACAATATTCAAATGCTTTTTCTTGCATATAAACTGATATGACTTTTGCAATTAAAATATCAGGTTTTTTTTGCACTTATCGCGTTGTTGCTTTTAGGGTGGTGACCTTACAGAAATTGGGGAGCGGGGAGTTAATATCAGTGGGGGCCAAAAGCAAAGAGTTTCCATGGCAAGGGCTGTTTATTCTAATTCTGATGTATATATATTTGATGATCCCTTGAGCGCATTGGATGCTCATGTTGGTCGGCAGGTAACCTTGCATCTCTCTGCCTCTTTTTATATGCTTATATCATTCATATGTGCATATTTCTATGTAGAAATTTATACATTTTTGTCCTCTTAGGAGGTCAATGGTCATCTTTCTGTCTTCAAGTTTCAAATCATGTCCTTAAAATCTAAGATCAAGTCCATCCATCTTCTTTAAGATCATTAAAGCTAAGAGTGTGTCTAATTTCATGCCTTGTTAATCTTATTTGATCATTTATTGGTAACATAAGAATTTCTGCATGAACGGCTTTGATTACTTAATAAAAAAAATTCATCACAATGAATAGCCTCTAAAAAACATGGAACTTATTATATGAGTTGCTCGTGATATTTAGAGAATATTTAATTGTTTTGATTGGATATACATGAAAGTGAACTTTTGATGAGCTTATATATGTTTTTGATCGAACTCATTTTTACTACATGAAAGTGATGAAACTCGTTCCATGAATAGTTTCATTTGTTGATGGAGAATAACTTTATGATACTTCATTTGAATATGTGTTTATATATATTATATTTATACTTATATATATTTATATAAATAATACATACCTACTTGGGATTGACTTTTCTGCTTCAAGGAGGAGAATGACCACTCTTATTCTATCTATATTTTGATTTATGATATACAAATATAACATCAAAACTATTCTCTCTTTACTATCATTAAAATCAAATTTACTTATAAAATCAAGATTTTATAAGATCATTTGATCATCAATTGAATACAACAAAATTTTCTCTTTGAAAGGTTTTCAATTAATATAAGAAGATCTTGAATATTCAATGTGCATAATCTTTCTTTCGAATTGACTTAATTTTTGTATTGATGAAATGCATGTGCAAAATTCGACCCTTAAGTGAGTTTGTATATGAGATCATGTCATCCTTGTTTTCTTTACATTCCTTGCTTAATGATTCAATTATTATTAAAGTTTATGAAATTGGATCTATTAGTAATTTTCATATCATGGATAAAACTCAATGTTGATATTTTGAGTTTGAAGAGCATATAAGGCTGTAGAAATAAAAATAAAATTGAGAGGAAAGTGATTTTTCTCATGACATTCAGATTTCAATGTTATGACCTTCATTATAACATCAAAATTACTTATCTATTTAGCATCATTAAAACAAGTTACATACATCCAAAATTATTTAATCATCAATTTGATGCATCCAAATTTCTCAATGGATGGTTTTGATTGGCTGAAAAGATGATTATGATGCATCTTACAAGTGGCAGTGAATTAGATATTTGTATCTTTAATATTTAGAAGTTATTTGATTATTTTTATTGTTGGAATAATAGATAAAACTAGATTTTTAAAATGAGTATTTATATGATTTTATTATCCATATTTTTGTTATGTGCTTGTTGAATTGTAATTAAAATTCGTGAAACTCGGTCATAAGAAATTTTCATTATGATAAAAATAAAAATGGGACTTCGAATTGTGAAATGCATAAAGCAATAAACATGAAATAGTGGAGATGAGTATTTTCCTCTTCTAAAAAATTCCATGTTGTGGGCTTTAAATGCAAGATCAAGGTCATATTCCATCTTCATAGTTTCCAGAACTTGTGATATGATTTCATTCATTGTTAAGATAATTTGATCAATTATTATATATTCTAATTTAATTGTTATATAATTCCCCCCTGATCTGTAATTATTTGTTCAGGTTTTTGATAGATGCATTAAGGAAACATTGAGAGGAAAAACCCGAGTACTTGTGACGAATCAGCTACACTTTCTTCCAAATGTGGATACAATTATTGTGGTTCATGACGGCATGGTCAAGGAGAAGGGCACCTTTGAAGAACTCAATAGTAATGGGTTCCTTTTTCGAAAATTAATGGAAAATGCTGGGAAGATGGAGGAGCAAGTTGATGAAAAGAAAAGTGAAAATGAAGGCGAAGAGGCTGCAACATCTACTGAAAACGGAGAAGTTATAAAGAGTGGGAATGGACTGGAAAACAAGAATAGTAAAGGAAAGAAAGGAAAATCTGTGCTTATCAAACAGGAGGAACGCGAAACTGGTGTTGTTAGCTTTAAAGTTGTTGATAGGTAATAGATTTTGGTTTTTAATCTTTCTTTGATTGGAATAATTTCATAGGATTACTCTTGAAACATGACGTGCCATGTCCAGTGAAAGAACGAACTGATTAATGGAACTCTGAATTACACAGATTCCCTCTTGGCGGAGTTTGATACTCTCAGCCTGATCTGATAAATCAAGTGATATGTTACTGAACTTACATATTTCCAATCTTGCCGAAGGCGTGCTTTTGCTTAGGTCTTCTATGATATAGATATTTCCTTTGCCTCATGTTTTAATGCATTCTTGCTGTTTCCTGCACTGTTTCTTTTATGTAGGTGTAGACTTTAGAGCACATAAAGATTATTTTGTTAGTTTTTATTACTCATGCAAAGCACCCAAGTATTTAAATCTCTTCCTAGCTTTGTAAGCCAACCTTTTTTTTTATTTTAGGTTTACTTTCTTTGTCCTTGATTGTCTCCATATTTATCCCAATATCCCGTACATTGTGCCCGTTATTCCCTTAACCAAGTGGTGCTCTGGTGGCTTTGTTGTTGTGAGAGCATATGACTGTTCTATTTGTATCAATATTACAAGCCTTCTCTCTTTCAAATTCCTGCATATGGTTGATATCTGACTTGTTTTAAATATGCTCCTTGATTAGATCTATAGATCTATTTTTACTGTTATTTAAACGTTTATATAACTCTTGTAGGTATAAGAATGCCCTGGGTGGGCTCTGGGTTGTCATGATACTTTTCTTTTGCTATGTCTTGACTGAAACTCTAAGGATTTCAAGTAGTACATGGTTAAGTGTCTGGACAGATCGAAGCTCTCCAAAGAGATACGGGGCTGGTTTTTACAACCTGGTCTATGCACTTCTTTCCTTTGGTCAGGTACTTTTGCTAGTTCTTAACATCATATACTTGAGTTTTTTGACTTTTCCTCTCCTTTCTTTTCTAGATGCTTTAAGTTATTAGCACATTATGAAGTAATATTATGTGAAGATTTGAAGATTAAACTAAATTATTTGCTTTTATTTAGGTACTAGTGACGCTGACTAACTCTTATTGGTTGATCATTTCAAGTCTTTATGCTGCCAAGAGGTTGCATGATGCCATGCTTAATTCTATATTACGAGCTCCTATGGTATTCTTTCACACAAACCCACTTGGAAGGATAATAAATAGGTTTGCAAAGGATCTTGGTGATATTGATCGCAATGTTGCTATATTTGTCAATATGTTTTTGGGCCAAGTTTCGCAGCTCCTTTCAACTTTTGTTTTGATAGGCCTTGTCAGCACTACTTCTCTTTGGGCCATAATGCCACTTCTGATTCTGTTTTATGCTGCGTATCTGTATTATCAGGTAAAAGGTCTCTATCAAATTATGGTGTTAGCCTAATGATTGCATATATATATTTGTCCTACTCTACTGTCCTTTTTTTTGTTATATGCTGATAATACTAAATGCCCTTGTCCTAAATTTGTAACACTAGTTTCTGCAGAAAACTTGCCATCAACTGAATCCATTGGATGTATTTCTTGTTTAATGTGGTGGTTTATACCATTTTAGACGTGCCTTAGCCAAAGTTATGAATTAGATATCCCTACTCCTATGTTTTCTTAAGGAACGTTTTATGCGGATAACTTGCCGTCAACTAACTGCATTAAAAAAGTGTGGAAAGTGGGTGGATATGTGTGGGTACGGCATCTCGAAAGTCACCATGGGTGAGCGTGGGTACCCAATTGGTAACCAACTAAGGGCTTTGGTCCCGAGCGGAGATTCTCCGTGCGATTGAAGGGGCGAAGAAGCATGTAAATAGGGAATGTCATCGTCAAAGGGGTGAAGAAGCACACAAATGGAAGAAAGATCAACAGCGTGCGGGCTAGAAGGAGCGAAGTCCAACGAGAAGGGAACACCGTCGATGGGACGTAGTCTTCCTTTTTCGCTTGAATTTGAGCAGCGGTTTTACCTGACATGCAAAATGAACTGCAGCAGGGAGTTCAAAATATAGTGCAATTTCGTTTCACTTTGCTCCATATCAAATCAAATAGCGTAAAATTAAAATGCAAGTATTTACTTTACTTTACATTCACTTTGCTACCAACCAAACAACCCCTTAGGTGTGATGAGAGATTTTCATCAGGACGTAGGTGCAAGAATCAACCTCTTCAGGTTTCTATGGTCTGTGAGGGGGAAAGAGGAGAACATGGATGAGCTAGAGGAGATCGTAGGGGAAACAGAGCAGTTACATCTAGACACACCATAAAGGTGAGAGAGAAAATCAGGGAACAACCAGTGGTGGTTTTGGTGGACAGTGGGGCTACAATTAACTTCGTGTTAAATTGGGTCGTGGATTAATTGAGGTTGAAGTTGGTGAAGACGGAAGGATGTGGGGTGATGATGAGAACGACTAAGAGAGGAGTCGGGGAATATGTAAAGGTGTGGTTATATATGATCTTGCAGGATATTCATATGGTGGAAGACTTCCTTCCCCTAGATTTGGGAAGTACGAATGTAATTCTGGGGATGAAGTTGCTATAAATCATGGGGAAAATGAAGGTTAACTGAAAGTCTTTGACCATGGAGGTCCAGGTAGAGACGAAGAAGATAGTGCTTCAAGGGGATGCTAGCTTATGCAAAATCATGGTATCACTTAAAACCATGCTCAAGATAATATAGGGTGCAGGCCTGGGGTACTTGGTGGAGTTACATAGCATAGAAGGGGTCTAGGAACAAGAGGTAGGGGAAATCTCGGTAGGGGTCCAACAGATTCTACAACAGTATCAGGATGTGTTCCGACAACCTATCGGACTACCAACATCACGAGAGCATGAGCATGCCATCAACATAAAAGATGGGACCTCTTTTATATAAGTGTTAAACCATATCGTTACCCCAAATTCAGAAAGATGAGATAGAGAGGTTAATCAAGGAGGTGATAGAAGTATGGATCATTAGGCCTAGTTTGAGCCCTTCTTGTCCAGTTCTGTTGTTGAAGAAGAAGGATGACAGTTGGAGGTTCTATGTGGATTACATAGCTCTAAACAAGAAAATAGTGCTAGATAAACTTCCCCTCCCAGTAATTGATGAACTCTTGGATGAGTGATTTGGGGTAGTGATCTTCTCCAAGATTGATTTAAAGTCGGGCTGCCATCAAATCAAGATGAAGGAAGTTGATGTGCATAAGTCGGCCTTTAGAAGACATGAGGGGCACCATGAGTTCCTAATGATGCTCTTCGGCCTCACTAATTCCCCAACCACCTTCCATTCCTCATGAACTAAGTGTTCCAACAGCACCTCAAAAGGTTTTTGTTGACCTCCACGTCAGATAAAAAAAGGAGAACAAAAAATTGAAATCATTACTTACCTCTGCCAAATCCTATATCCAACCGCTGAAATCTTGCGTGTACAGTCGCTCCATACCCTGCAATGGTGCCGTTGGGTCGTTTCACCCAATTTGTCTACTAAACCCCACTCTCGCTCGTGTTGTTAAAACGGGAGAGCAGACGAAGCCTTCCTGGGGTTTCCACGTAGAAATCCCGCAATTCACTCACTCTGTTCTTCATCCCCAATCTCCTCCTTCATACCTCATCCTAACTTGTCGCCTGCAGCCAGTTCATGCTCAAACTTCTGCAGTCGAAACCTCTTCCCTTGTGGGGCCCAACAAAGCTATGATTCCATATGTACAGAGAAGGAATTAATCGCTATTTAATTCCAATTTGAATTCAAAATAAGAGAGGGAATTAATTAAGGCAATAAGATTGTTTTGGGGGGAAATAGGATGAGCTTATTTAGAGCTATTTATTTTGTATTAAGGTAATGTTTGGATTGGAGTTTTGTTGTAGTACTTTTTGTGAGGGCTTCCTAGTGATGTCTAGGTTGTTTGAGAGAGTCAATCTATCTCTTAAAACGTAGATCACCTTTATCTTATTTTGAAATTGAAGTTATAATTCAAAATCAGTCGTCGTTTGGAGTATTCCTATAGTTTTCTCTTCTTTCTTTCACTGCTTTCACTTCCAAGGCATATTATATCCATCGGACTCTTCAACATATGTAAGGTTTTTCTTTGCTTAGATTTCTTCATGTGGTATTGTTTAGCATGCATCTAACATCTAATTCTCAGCAATGATACATGGAATACATCATGTATATCTGAAAAGTTAGCTAGCAGTGCTAATCTGTATGCAACTTTACTAATCTTTTCAATAATCTCAAATAGCCCTATAAATCTTGGACTTAACTTGCTTTCTTGATCACATCTAGCAACACTTTTCGTAGGCTTAACTTTCATAAACACAAAATCACCTATTTAGACAAACATCGTTCACAAAAACTTAAAAAAAAAAATCCTTCACAAAAACTTAAAAATAATCCCTTACAAAGAGTCTTAAAAATTATAAGAATATGAAGATATCAAGTGAAATCTACCCCTCTGATGTAGACAAAGGGGGGGTCAACACTTGTCCAAAATAAATCAAATTTTTGCTTCCCTTGAGTCTAGTAGTTCATCATATTTGAGCTAACTTTTTAGTTCATTTATGAGCTGGACTTTAGTTCATTTATTGAACTAAGGGTTAGCTCATTATGAGCTAACATTTTAGTTCATTTATTATCTTTTAATTATTGTCTTTTATGATTTTTATGTTTGTTTTAAAGTTTGTCTCTTGGAATTCTAAACCGGCCTTTGGAATTCCAAGATTTCTTTTTCCCATGGTGGCTCCTTGTATTCCACCATGGCTTTATTTGTTTGCCTCTTGGGATCTCACGGTTGGGCTCCTTCTTCCGTGACCGTCCCTCGTTTCCCGTGGCCGTGGCTCTCGGTACGTGCGGTTCTCCTCGTCTCCCGTGCTGTCTCCTTGGTTCCTGGTTTGGGTGTTTAACCGTGAGCTTGGGGGGGAGATTTCTATGTTTTAATGCTTAGTTTATTGTGTCAAAATTAATGTAATGTGTCTCTTTGTATTCCCTTTCATACCTATAAATATAGGGGATTGTTTATGTTTGAAGTTAGTTGAATGTGATATTTGATTTTTGGAAAAAAATCTATTAACCTGCGGGTTGCTTGGAAATCCTGCGGGCTCTTTCCAGCCTTCTTTCTCATCCCCTCCGGAAATCCTGCGGGCTCTTTCCAACCTTTCTTCTCGGGCTTCTAATCTCTTTCGTCTCTCCGCAGGTGCCACTCCACCTGTATCATTCTTCTCTAAGTGAAGCAGCTTTAGGGTGTCGTCTTTTAATTTTAAGTTTGCAAGTCGTCGTCGTTGTAATTTCTTCTTTTTTTAGTTTTATTTGAAATGTAAGAGTTTGTTCGTCTCTTTTCTCATCATTAGCCAATTTCGTCGGTAGAAGTCCGACTCTGTTTTTGTTAAGCAAAAAATATAGGCTCCCTATATTTTTTGCTTGCATCAGTTAGGGTATAAACAACTTATGTTCTTTTGGTCTTTGGGATGCTGGTTGTCTCTCGAGTTGGACTTTGGCTGCTTTGATTTTGAGCTAAATTCTTGGGAGCTACTTGGTTCTAGCTCATAAATGCTTGAACCAATGTTAGCTCATTAATATGAGGAGTTATTGCACTCGAAAGCTCATTATGTGGAGTTTGGAACCTTGCCTCTTCCCCTTCTTTGTGTCTCCTCGGTTCCTCCCTTGGTGTTGTTTCCGTGGATGGTTCTTCTCCCTCTGCTGGCTGCTGGTTCTGGTCCCCTTTGTGCCTTGTCGGTTTGTTCCTTGGTTGCTTTCCCGTGGCTCCTCTACCCAGTTCCTGTGTTGTTTTTTGGCTGTTTTTATGGAACTAATTTTGGTTGTTTGGGAGTTGTTTTTGGGCTGTTTCTGGACAGCTACTGGCCTTCCAAATTCCCCTTATTTTAATTACCTTAATTAATGGTTTTATGGTGGCTGTTTGGCTGCCCCTTTTCCCTTATATATATTAGATGTTTTGTAATAGAAAAGTGTTTTTAGAGGGTTGTTGTGTGCTGATTTTTGGAGTAAAAAAACCTGAGGGTAAAAGCAGCCACGGCAAGGCAACCAAGGAAGAAACCAAAAAAGGCAGCACATGAACCGGAACAGCCCACGGGAAGGAGCAGGGAACAACCACATGAAACAAGAACCAGGGAGAAACTGAGGAGACACAAAGAAGGGGAAGAGGCAAGATTCCAAACTCCTCATAATGAGCTTTCAAGTGCAATAACTCCTCATATTAATGAGCTAACATCAATTCAAGCAATAATGAGCTAGCACCAAGTAGATCCCAAATTTTTAGCTCAAAACCAAAGCAGCCAAGGCCCAACCCGAGAGCAGCCAAGACCCAAACCGAGAGGCAACAAGCAGCCCAAAGACCAAAAAAACCTATTTTGAACCCCCCCCCCCTTGGC